CCTGCTGTGGCTACTGTGGAAAAGAGAACATAGAATCCATCTCTTGTAAACACAATTTTAGCTACAGCAGCAGAGTTCTGCAAGAGCTTGTTTCTCCTTTCACAGCAGGACTCCTTTGTGTGGAGATACTCTTATTTAAAGCTGGCTGCACACCCTGCTGCAGAGAGATGGTGCATCCAAGAGTGACAGTAGAAAAGAAATTCTAGTCTAGGGTTTTGTCTTATTCAGAAAAATGCTTGGCCTCTCCCTGAAACAATAAATCATTACATGTAAAGTTTAACAGAGTGCTTAACCATTTCAAATACTGCCTATTTATTCAGTATCTTTCTCTGTTGTTTTTGCTTTTAGGCTCACAGGGCAAAATATTGATGCCCTGTCAGGACCAAAGGCTCCCAAGTCGTATTTGCAGAGGGGAAACCTCATTGGTTTCAATACTCTGACTCACTAAGACCTACTGGAGTTGTCAGAAGGTATTTTTAATTTTTTCTTTCTCTACAAGTTAGGACAAGGTTGTATGGGACCCTTGGCTCTCCTTTTGCTTTTGTTTCGTTTGACTGAGTACAGCAAATCAGAATATTGATTTCTATGTTCTCTTGTTTGTACACAGGAGTCCCCCTGGAACCCAGTAATTGCCAACCTTCACTCCCAATGAAGTCCAAGCCACAGCTAGTTTTGTGTGTACAGCCTCTTTTATAACCAGACTGAATATCTATCTATATATATATGAACACAAAAATACATATGTAATTATATATGTGTGCGTGTATCTCCACCTTAGTGACAAAGTTTTTTTCAAGCAAATCCATTTTCCTCCTAACTGTAAAACTATTTACACCACAAGACTGGCTGCAATCTCCATCTAAGGTTTCTTGGACAAAGTTCTACTGTGTATGACTGCAAAGATGTGGTATGTTTTAGAGATTTTTAACACATGATAACTGGATACTTATTCTAATCTCCTAGAAACAAACGACAAGTACTGGAACACAAGCAAGGTTTGCAATATACTGGAACTTGAGAATATCTGGTTTCCAAAACAAAACATAACAAAAAAAAAAGCACAACTATTTTAACAGACTCTAAACTTTTGCTAAATCTGTTCTGGTTTCAGGATAGTTTCCTGTTCAAGGCAGTGGATTACCTGATGGTAATGGATCAGATCCACAAACACAATGAAGCAACCAAAACATAGATTAGATGGAACTAGGACAATTAAGATGCAGAAGTGCAATCCACAAAACCAGTGCTTAATTGCTTAAGCAACTAAGAGGCTGGTGATCCTTCTGCATACCAAGTGTCCTGAATCCCTAAAATGTTAATGCTACCCATATCCAAAATCAGCCTGATGCAGACAGAATTGAGCATCCTCACAGTTATCCCATATCCATTTTACCTAAGATTGGCAAACAGGTAGCTGCAGACAGAAAACCTTGCAGGGCACAGCAGAGTACCAGAAAATTCCTGACATCTGAACAATACTAAATTGTCCAGCAGAGAAAAAACAAGAAAAATAAAAAAAAGGCATGGTACTCACATCCATTTGAACTAAGGAACCCTGCTAGAAAGCAGATGAGCAACATATATGTCTGATTAATTTATTCCACCTGTCTTTCAGTGTATAATGGATTCAAGCACAGAGCATTCTTCCCAGCTCCAGCTACCCAGATCCTGTGGGGATCTGGATGCTTTTCTCTGTGTACCAAATCTAAGTAGGTGCTCCTGTTAAGCTCCCGCTTAAGACAAAACCAGAAGAATCAGAACTTGCTTCTGAAGTTTAAGGCCACCAGAAAGCTCCTCTGCTTTACCAGAGAAGGACAGGGGAAATTCTGACAACTGAATATGCGTAATACACCCACCTAAATAGTTCATGACATAGTTTGTCCATAATGTATTTCACACATTCATTGCTCCCATCCATCTATCCAATAGTTCATTCACTGGCTTTGTACACATCATCATCTTACTGAAGAATTGAAGTACCAGTCACATGCTCAGTGTTTAACCTAGTGAAGACTCTTAACTTTACCATGGAGGTTATAACTACCTGGACATTGTACATGAAATTGTTATAAATATTTTTCTTCAAAAGGTCAAAACAAGGGACAGAATAAAAATATTTAGGCCTTTACTTTCTGACTGTCTCTCAGGGAAGATTAATCATTCAGCTTAAAGTCCTACATGAAGCTTGCCAGATTCAAAGGGCTCCCAGGCAGCTATTTACCATTCCATTAAGAAATCTGAACTTGCTTCTAAGGGACTTCACCTAACACTGGTGGTAATAGAAAACCACGTCAGAATTGTCTTTTACGGCAAGAAACATAGGTGAGTTTATTTCTTCCTACCACAGGTGTCACTTAACTGATATTTGTTCACCTAGTAATGGATTACTCAGTCACACAAAATGCATGTCAAGCACAATCTCTTCTAAATCCATGACAGTAAGTTTGGTAAATGCTTTGGAACAAAAGGTCAACCTGAAAAAACCCCAAAAAACAGATGCACCAAATCCTGCCAGACACAATTTCTACATAGAAAAATAAAAAGTCTGGAAGCTACTAGGTGAGTTACATGCTGCAATTGGAAAGGCTGTAAGCCAAATGGGAATTGTCACCTTTGCTTGGATGTGAGAAGCTTGTACAGCAGGTTCTCCTTGCCTGACTTTGGAGAGGTACCGCAGTGACTAACACCTGGATATCATACGTACCATCCCCAGCACACCTAACTAACAGGCACAAATGGATCACAGTTCATCTAACCTTGTCAGAAACCTGCTTTAGGATGAGGGGAACTGAGCTCTGATTTCACTCCACTGGCTGCAAAAAGAGCCTCAGCAAGTAGCTCCAACATGGGTGTTACACCATCAGTGCTTACGTTGATGCTTCTCATGGCAATAATTTTATGATTAACTGATGCTTCTGTTTATGGATAACCATTGCTATGCACAAGTCACTAAACATGACACTGTGGATGGTGGCTGCCCTAAGCTGTACTGCCACACACAGAAAGCCTGCACTGCTGCTGGTGGTACCTCTGTTCCACAAGACTTCATTTTTTTGTGTCATCAGTCAAACCTATTGTTCATCACAAAGTATTCCCTTGAAATTCTTTCAGTGCTAATGGCCAGAATCTGAAACAGAGAGGGGAGGATCTCCTTCACAGGCAGCAGCAGGAGCCTTTGATAAGTTTGGGGTATGAAATGATTTCACTAGTCACTTTGCAATATTAATGAAAAAAACCCCAACATTATATGTGGCTTTTAAAAATACACAGATCTACTTTGTCTGCTGTTACTCTGCCCCAAGACACCAGGCACACTCAGATCTTTTATTTACATCTATTTATTGAAGTCAATGAAGTTGTATTAGGAGAAAATCAGGCCCTCCAGCTCCAGTATTATTCAGTTTGTTGATTATGAAAGAGGAAGCTATAAAAATTACGATAGCAAAAAGATTTCCCTTGTGGTGAAGTTAAGTGTTTGCTTTTTAAACACACCACAGTGTTTGCATTAAACTTCTGTTTCTGTTTTTGCTGTAAAGCAATTGTTTGGGTTAGCCACCTACCAAGAGGAATCTTCTAACAATAAAAAGGCTCTTTATTGTTTTCCCTGAGTTACTTCTATGGTGTCATTATTAAAATGAAAACCCAGCTGACAATGATTAAAAATATCTGCTACAACATGCCCTCTAGATGTTTTTCTTCCTAGATGCAAAAATTAGCTAGATCTGCAAGTCTACACACACAGCACCACAGCAGAAGCTTCTCCCTTCAGTGGCATTTTTTTCCCATTTGCCTCAGTGGGGTGGTATTCTGGGTGAAGTTCTCCTCAGAGGCCACCTGGCACATCTTCACTACTCTAATAAGGCATCTCACACCAATCAGGCATTTGTCATGACTCTTGCTGTGCTGCTCAACCTTCCCAGCTGGAACTTCTGTGCCAAGAGGCTGTCAATGTGTCCATTGAGCCCTGTCTTTCTCACCTGTATGTGCAAGATGGTCAGGCTACCCAGCTGGAGGTTGTAGATGCAGCACACAAAGGCATCTGGTACTGGCATTCCTCCTTCCTGGGCAGTGGATGACAGAATGCATAAGGCTGGGATGAAACTCTCCTCAAGCAGCAGCAGCAAGCCCCTAGCTGACACAGGAACAGGAAACTGACATCTGATGGTTTGATGGTGGACTTGACAGTACAAGGCTAATGGCTTGACCTGATGATTTTAAAGGTCTTTTCCAACCAAAATGATTACATGGCTCTAATGCTTCCAGGGTGCTGTAGGGAAAGACATCCATAGACTGGGTGGATTTGCCTCCCAGCTGTGTGTGACACCTGATTTCTAACTAAGTGATTTTGCTTCATG